CAGGGAGCCTGCTTCTCCCTCTGACTCTCCCCCCTCTCATGTGCTCTCTGTCTCTCTCATTCTCTCTGTCTCAAATAAATAAATAAAATCTTTAAGAAAAAAAAAAAAATATGCCCTGACTTTTGAAAAACCTTCTGGGAAACCATGTCAGATTCATAAGTTTGAGTCACATCTATTTGGTTTTATCTTTTCAGTATGAATTTTTTTTTAGCGGCTTTCACCAAGATTTCTGTTTTGCCCAATATTTGATACTCCTATCTTCTAGCATTTTCCTAAAATACTTATGTACCTTAGGAGCATTAAGCTGATTTTTAAAATGTGTTAAAACTTTTAACAGGGAAACTTAACCTGTTTTTACTTATATGTAGTTTGACTTGTGTTCTTTTGCCTTTTTGTATGGTTCTCTTGTGGTATGGAAGCAATACTTTCCATTTTATTAGAACCTACATCTTATCCACTTCCCTTTTTCTTAGGTACACAGTTCAAGTGTGATACTCTGAGTCATCATCTGGCCTTATTTTCTCTTCCTACTGAATGCTAGTTCAAGTATAGGACTCTATTTAAATAATTTCCATAGAACTTTGCAGACACTGCTCCCATTGTCTGAGGAGTTACATGCTGATCTGAGCATTTCTTTCTGAAAGCTGTAAGAGCTCCTTGGGCTTCTGAAACTATCACCCTGCCTCCAGATAAGCCATCTTAAGACCTGGGACTGTCGTTAGTGTTGAGAAATAACTATTTGTTTCGTCCTGGACCATCTAGAACTGGCTTTCATGTCTTGCACTTTCCCTCTTGTCCTTTCGGGCAGCCTTCTGGGAGATTCTGGAGCTCCATCTTCGAAGTGCTTTTTTTTTTTTTAACATCTTTTCCACTCGTGAACTTGGAGTCTTGAGAGACCTAGGAGAATCGGAATTATTATGGAAATGAAAACTATTTGCTCTTAGAACCTCAACTTCTTGAGTTGGGTGTGTCTTCCTGGGTTCTGGCTTTCCCCGAAGCATTTGGTTATTGGGTAGATTTTTTTTATTTGTAAGTGATCAGTCTGGAGTGGTTGTAGGGGAGGGATAGAACACTGGAGGAAACGCTCTGGCCATGGGGTTCTGTTCTCCAGATTATTTCTAACTACTTGAGGCCTTTGCACTGTTTCTGTGGTGTAAGCGCCCTCATTTTCTAACAGCCTGGGGTAAACACCATTGCTGCTACGGTTTGGCACAAGTAGAGGAGGAGGCCAGCAGACCATTCAATATGAGCCATGAAAGCTGTTCCAAGGTCCCTACACCTGATCTTGAATACTTCTATGACCACTCCCTTTTTCCCAAACAGAGTTTGGTCTATGATTTTTCTCCTTCAATCTGATCTTGCCTGTTCCTTAGGGTTCTTTAAAACTTGTGAGCCATCCACGCCTAGCACACCTTCTCGTTTCCCAGCATGCTGAACTACGCACTTCAGCGTCTTCCTGTCTGAGCGCTGGGACAGAAGGAAGAGGCAGACCCCGAGGCCCAGGCTACCGTCTTGGTGAGATCACTCTGCGGTCACCTTAACAGAGAAACCCTTAAACCCTCAAATCTTCCTTATGTGTTTGAAGGAGACAAACCCCACAAGTGTGAGTTCTGCGACAAGTGCTTCAGCCGGAAGGACAACCTGACCATGCACATGCGTTGCCACACCAGTGTAAAGCCCCACAAGTGTCATCTCTGTGACTACGCCGCCGTGGACAGCAGCAGCCTCAAGAAGCACCTGCGGATCCACTCGGACGAGCGGCCCTACAAGTGTCAGCTCTGCCCGTACGCCAGCCGCAACTCGAGCCAGCTCACCGTCCACCTGCGGTCCCACACAGGTAGGTCCCTGGCCCAGAGACCTGTGCCTTACCTGTTGTCCAGTTTCTTAACCTTCACCTCGCCAAAACACAAGCAACCAAGAGGACGTGGTGGTCAAAAGTAAAGGAATTGGAATCTCTGTGGTTTTTCACTCGGATGGCAATTTTCAGTAAAACGTGGAAGTCTGACAGCTGGGTTTTTTTCCAACTCCATTACATAGGCCACAGCTGGGGATGAGCACCCACTACAGCAGGGAGGCAAGGGATGTCTCTCAAAAGTCTGGCGTATAAACTAGGTGTTTCAGTCATTTCACATAAACTGATCGCATGGCTGAATTCAGATGCATTGCCAAATTAGTTGACTGGAACTGCAAATCACAGACTTCTAGTGCTGGAAATTAGACTTGGCAAAGAGCTTTATCTTCCCTTTGTGAGACCCCATTGAATAACAATAGATAGAATCAACCAGTTCGTCATGGCACAGAAAAGTGGGGATTGGGAGGCTCATAAGAAGGCTCAGAAAATGAGGCTTTTCAATGAATTCATGGAAGATGGCGAGCAGATAGAATATGCTGACATCTGAAACTAAGTTTAAAAAAAAAAAAAAAACTCGTCCAGCAGACAAATGGCTCCCAACTCTATGGCTGCCTCCCAGTCTTTCTAACCAATGTTTTACTGCCCTGAGAGCTCTGGACTTGGAACTGGCATGTAGACTGCCAAGGCCACAGAGCTCAGAGGAGAAGCTAAAGCCTATTGGCAACATGGTCCATACTGCCCAGTAGCAGGTAAAACCAATGACCACCTATATCTAATCCTTAAACCAATCTGTTCTTCCTAAACTAAATGTCAACTATGGATTATGAATCATTGGCAGGAGATGAGTGATCTAAAATGCCCCAAATCTAACAAATCCTGGAGTTAACAGAGTACTTGGGTCACAGACAAGAATTCTTCAATTCTAATTGGTATCTACCCACTAGCAGAAATGTTGCATCCTATGAAAATGTAGTGAGAACAAAGTAAGAATTAAAACTGGAATTGTTGACTACAAAGGCAAAGAAATTTCCCAGACATTAGAAGAAAGAAAATAAAACTGATTTGGATAACTGAGAAAGAATAAGAAATTGGAAGTTTGGTTACTGACTGGGTCTAGGGAAAAAAAAAATAGAAGTGAGAAAATCAAATAAGAAAGAATTTTCCAATTCTAAGGAGCCATGAGAGTGGAAAGGATTCACAAGATGCCAAGCAGTACAGAGTGGATGGGCAGAGTCAAACCTAGAAAAACTTCTCAGTAGTATTAGCTTCTAGGGGGATAGTGGAATAATGCCCTCAAAGTTGGGAAGTGATTTTGAATGAAGAATTCTATACCCAGCTAAACTATCTGAAGTATACAGGTAGAAAGTAGACAAAATCAGGCAAGAAATCAAACTACCAGCCATCATGCTAGTGGAAGTTACTGGAAGATAAAGTCTTCTCCAGGGAGAAAACAAAATTTGGCATATTTGATGTATATTTGAATATAGCAAACAGAGGTTGCAGTAAAGGGAAGTATCAGGATGATTCCTATGTTGAAGGTTTAAAAGAAAATTCAGTAAATCAGAAACTCAAAATCCACAAGAAATTTTATCTAAAATATTCCATAATTAAAGGACTGGGTTACTTTTGAGATTATGGCAAGATTCTTTTTTCCTGAATGCATAGTCCAGTCAAGAATTAAGCTAAGCTGTGACCCAAAATGAGCATGTAAGAAAAGAGAATCAGTGTGACCTTTATGCAAACAACATTATCCAATGGCCCAGGTGTGACAGTGACCCTCTAAGGAGGTGGGCGGAATTCTGGTGCAGTATTTGGCCCCGGTGAATGACATATACCCAGTCATAAATTACAGTTTGATTCGAACACTGAAAACAACTAGTTAAAGCATGAGAATTCACTGGCCAGAATGCGAATGTTCTTGAACTTAAATGTGAAAATCCTGACAAGTAGGAAGGGGTAGTATGGTGAAGACAAGGGAATCCTCAAGAAACCTCTCAAGCTGATGGACTAAAAGTTAGGATGCTATTACCCAATGTAGAAGATAATGCCAGAGGGGTAAAATACACACCCAACAATGGAGGAGAGGCTGGGGGGGGTTAGGGTGGACGTGTAGGGTAAGTGAGATCCTCATCTCTGCTTATGTTCAACTGATGATAATCGTTAAAGTAGCAACCTCCAGAAGCACTAAAAATCCTTAGCAGTGCCTCCAGAGTACAAAGGAGGCTATGGATTTTCAGGAATTTGTCCCCTGCTGCCATATTCCTGTATTAATTTTATAAATAAAATTCAGTCTCATTGTGTAACTATGAGACTTTAGTAATACAAGCCAATCGATCGAGGTAATACAGCTGAAACATTAGAGTCAGCAATAAGTCCTAGTTTGATCTGGCACAGTTGTAACATAAATTGCACCTCTCCCATGCCCAGTTTTGGGGTGTTAGATTAAATGAGAGCTAGATTGGAAAGTAAAGTGGCCTCATGAAGAGTGTGGGCTTGGACGCCCTGGTGCCTGAGTTCAAATCCCTGCTATTTGACCTCGAAGCCTCCATTATCCCATCTGTTCAATGGGGGCAATAGTACCCATTCATAAGATTGTTGTGAGGATAAAAGAAGTTAAGGCACATGGTAAGTGGCGGTGTCAGGGAGTTACCCGTCGTTGGAGTTCAAAGACCCAACTCTCTCTGCACCACGTGTTCTGACGCATGTTTGGGGGGGGGTAGGGGGGAGTTCTTTTGCCTGCTTGCTCTAATGGAAACACACCTTCCGTTGCTAGGGGACACCCCCTTCCAGTGCTGGCTCTGTAGCGCCAAGTTCAAAATCAGCTCGGACTTGAAAAGGCACATGATCGTGCACTCGGGGGAGAAGCCTTTCAAGTGCGAGTTCTGTGACGTCCGCTGCACGATGAAGGCGAACCTCAAGTCGCACATCCGCATCAAGCACACGTTCAAGTGCCTGCACTGCTCCTTCCAGGGCCGGGACCGGGCCGACCTCCTGGAGCACAGCCGGCTGCACCAGGCCGACCACCCCGAGAAGTGTCCCGAGTGCAGCTACTCGTGCTCCAGCACTGCGGCCCTGCGCGTGCACAGCCGAGTGCACTGCACTGACCGCCCGTTCAAGTGTGACTTCTGCAGCTTCGACACCAAGCGGCCCAGCAGCCTGGCCAAGCACATTGACAAGGTGCACAGGGACGAGGCCAAAACGGAGAACCAGGCCCCGCACGGCAAGGAAGGGCCCCGAGGGAGCAGCTCCCAGCACGTGGCCAAAATAGTGACCCAGCGGGCCTTCCGCTGCGAGACCTGCGGTGCCTCCTTCGTCAGGGACGACTCTCTGAGATGCCACAAGAAGCAGCACAACGGCCAGAGCGAGAGCAAGAACTCAGACTTGGTCACCTTCCCGCCCGAAAGCAGTGCCCCGGGGCATCTGGGCACCCTCTAGTTGAGCCACCGACGGTGGTCGGCTGTCCGAACGCCAGACAGATGCCGCGGTCCCGCCCTCCGAGTGGAGGCCGCCAAGCCAGACTTGTCACCAGCTCTGGGGACGGATGCTCCAACTTTATAGGCCCTCAAGGCCATGGCCGCGGGTCACTGGCGTGAGAACCGACGCCAAAGCAACAGCGTGGACACACCCCTCCACGTTGCTGTCTTTCCTCCAAACATCGGCTCCGCAAGTCGACCAAGTCGTTCCAAGGTTGGGGGGGGTGGGGGGTCCACTGCGCACCGCTCTATCCCAGAGGGATAGTTTCGTGATGGATTCCGATCCTAAAACTGATCCACCTCCAATGGAATTATGAAACTGTTCAGACCACGTGGAGAACTAAACTGATGTGTATAGTGGGGAAGGCTAAGATGGCGGCGGGGGTGCGTTACGTGGAGGACCTGGGGCATCTGGGAAAGTTCTATTTCTTAACCTGGGTGGTGGTGATGAGTGTTTGCCTTATGCATTCGTGTGGTTCCTTTTATCATTGTCTTACAATAAAAAGGCAGACTCAGCTGTAGAATGACGTAAGAGGGACGCTCCGTTTTTCTTTACGTTCTTCCATTAGACTGGTTAGGGTGTGGGGTTCTCCATCCCCACCCCATTCAGTAATGCGTTCGGGGCGCACACAGATTTCTCGAGGTATTAATGCTGCAGTGACGTGAAATGCAGCTTGACCTGTAGGTGGCGCCAGAGATCAAGCTAACACTGGCTGAGCCCGCACGTGTGCATTGTGAAACTGCATTTACATACTTCTTAGAGAAAAGACTTGGGCCCCGGGCTTGGTTCTGGGACATGTGATGCATGCGGCAGGCGGAGCTTAGGGTCTTTCATCCCAATAAGCACTTGGTGTTCCCCGATCCAACAAATGAAAATCCAAACTTCTTGTAGATGGACATTTTACTTTGGCCAAATCTTAGGAGGCTCTGGAATGCCATGGATCTATAACTTATCCAGAGTTGTTTCGTTGTTTGGCATCTTCAAGTACAGTTTTTGTTTAATACAAATTCTTATGTGCCCTCATCAAGTTAAACATCGGAGCTTTTAAAACCGATTAAATAGATCCATCGTTTTTGGTAAACTGGGAGAAAAAGGACGTGAAGACTTTTATAGATTATACACAAGGGAATAAATAGTTCACTTATGGGGCGCCTGGGTGGCTCAGTTGGTTAAGCGACTGCCTTCGGCTCAGGTCATGATCCTGGAGTCCCGGGATCGAGTCCCGCATCGGGC